ATTTCTTACGGGAAAATATTATAGTGCATGAAACTGGTGGTGTAAAGACTTTATGCACAAAATAACAGACCGCTTGATTTGCAATGCCCATTAACAGTTACTAAAACAAATTAACAAAAGGAAAGTTTAAAACAAGAGTATCTTTTCTCAAATGTAAATTGTATACACAACTAAACTTTCATTAATATGTTATAGTGAAAACTTTGTTGGTGTGTTTTATGGGTGAAGGGTTTCACAGCTCTTTTAGCTTTAGCGTAGAAAGTTCATAACACACAGTTCAGAAAACCACGAAAGCGAGATGCATAGGTTTCACGTGATTTTTTTGATAAGTTTTATTTAGAGCTGCTACATCGACTATCTTCAATGTCCCTACACCCGCTTATTCCAGCTCACTCACGCTTATTAGATTTAATACAGAAAAAATTCAGAATAACTATGTACAAAGATTCGAGAGAGCGGTGTAGCTTAGGAAGATTTATTAAAGTCTATAGCAAATTAAAATCTATCACATTTTTGATCATTTCACCTGAAGGAAGGCAACACAGCTACTAAGGCGCAAGAGGGTACTGAATATGAAAGTGTATGAGAAAAAGGAAAAACTTAAAGGAGAAGAAGGAAAGGATAAGAATTAAGAGAACAGAAGAAAATGATTTTAAATATTTGAAGTTGACTCGGAAGCAAGACGCCGCAAGAGAGTTCCACAAGAGCGAAATAAGAAACTGTTAGCAAAGGAACTACGGATACATGCAGATATTTGAACTATTAAACTCTAGTACTGAGATTAAATTCATAAATCTAGATACCATTGAGGAAAGTTCATCAGAACAATTACCAGGAAAGTATAAATAGAAAAGTCACAGGGAAGCTACTTTACGGCGGTGGGAATGTGACCGAAGCCGACATGCCAGGCGAAGATCAGTAACATTGCAGATTCTTCTTTGGCTCTTATCAAAAATCTCTAAATATAGAGCAAGAGTACCAGATCAAATGTGGCCGCAATATTCTATCGAAAGAAAAAGAAAAAACATTATTAAGAAAAGAGAAAAAACATTATTAAGAAAAGAGAAAAAACAGAAGAAAAAAACGATTCAAGAAGATAGTGCCATGAAGCTGTTAGCTTAAAATTTGCTGTTACATCTAACCAATTCAACTGTAAAATGATGATACTTAGTCGCCAATCTACTGCTGCGATTAAATTCATAATGTCTACTTATCATGGAGTAGAGCTTATCAGAACAGAGGTAAGCTATGTTATGGCGATGGGAAAGTGACTGAATCCATGATAACAGGTTAGGACAATTGACATTGCAGATTCTTTGAATTTTACAAAGGATATCTAAATATTTAACAGGAGCAATATTCTAATTGGGAGCAATATTCTAAGCATGGTCGAATTACAGACATAAATGAGGAAGTAGAAAAATAAATACTATAATATAATATTTTACATAGAAGAGTTCTATCGTCAAGGGAGATAACCTACAACAAGGGGAATAACTAGATTCGAGTGTAATTAACAAGAAGAAATTTTTAAAGTGTTATAACTGTAGAAATGAGGATATTTGAAAGATTCAACTAATAATCTTTTTGTTCTTCTACGTGCCGTCTAACCAATTTCACTCTTAAGTCTTGGGTTCATCTTCAGCGCTTTGGCGATCATGGCTCTCCATAATTTCCTCTCCTTTGTAATTCTTAATAAATATTGACTTTTTCTTATCTCTCCTAAAACGTGTTCCATCGTCCATTGTCTCAAGTTCTCTAGGTAGGATACGCGTTGTTTTTCTCTGTCCCATTTATCTTCAATTTGTCCTGTGAGTTTCAAATTTTCCAATCCCTCTTTCCTCATTATATATCCTAGAAATTTTCAAATGTTACTTACTGATGTTAAATATGAGTGTTTTTGTTTCCATTTCTTTTAAAACTTTATCCTTGTTCATATGTTCAGTTCATGGTATTCTCAGTATCTTTCTGTAGAGCACATTTCTGCTGTTTCAAGTCTTTTCTTCGTCTTTGAGGTGATTTTCCAGCATTCACTGCCATATAGGAGGACAAATGTTACGTAATAGTTCAGTACACTTTTCTTTGTTTCTGACAAAATGTTCTGTTTCGCTATATGTAGGACTCAAGGTTGAATTGGCTCTTCTTGGAATCCTGCTATCATTTAAACAGAATACGGCAATAAAAGCTATATTTTACTCGGACTTTATGAACACCCGCTGGAGATATCTTTTCTTATTTTCCATGAATTCTTTTGATTTCTGTAATGAGTCTTTTCCCTGTTCTGTTCTCAAAAGAAAGATTTGTTGTCTCCAGCTTCCATCTTTTTAATTTTTAGAAATATTTGTTCTGTTTATTTTTTTCCCAATTCAATTCAATAAAGTTTGTTCAATATGATTCCTCTTAAACAATGACGCCTCTGTCGCGGCTGCCAAGTTTGTCATTGTCGATTCAAATGGCGTTCTAATTTCTTTGCTTTCGCGTCCCTAAGGACCCAGCGTCATACCAAGACAGCCAATCAGAAGAGAAGAAACTGAATCGTAACAGTAATACTCGCAAGTGAAAGAAGACGAAAAGGTTTTGATTAATGAAACAAACAAATGTCGATAAAATGGATGACCAAACAATCCAAAAATGAAATGGAAGGCAGAGATGTAGATTTTAATAAAAGCTGTGAAAAATAAACCATATAAAAGATACGAACTGATGGGAGGAAAAATAAATCTGTGTTGAAAGATATTAGAGTGAGATGTCTGAAAAGAAGAATCGTAGTTGTTGAAGGAAGGAAAAATAAAAAAAAGAACACAATTAAAAGAAATATTAAATTAAAGAGATATGAACGAAAAATGAAAGAGTGGAATATTTAGTGGTAGCAAATATCAAAAACATGTTAAAGACAAAGAAGTAGAAGGAGTGTGGATAAATAACAAGAAAGAAAAAAGAGCAACAAAAGAAAGAAAGAAAGAAAGAAAGAAAGAAAGAAAGAAAGAAAGTAAATAAGTAAGTAAAAGAGATTGCGGAGATGAAGAAAAGGGAAAAAAACGCTAGTAAAAAAAGAAAGAAAGAAGATTGATCTTAAGTGAAGTAGAATAAGAGGAAGAAAGAAAAAAAAAGAAAGGGAAGAAGAATGGACAAGAAAAAAGATAAAAAGAAAGAAAGAAAAAAGAAAAGAGAAAACGAATCATAGAAGGAAAAAAAACAAAGAAAGAACTTTTAAATAACTTTAGATGTAATTAATTATATGCAGACAAGGAAAGAAAGAAAGAAAGAAAGAAAGAAAGAAAGAAAGAAAGAAAGAAAGAAAGGAAGGAAGAATTTAGATATTGAAAGAAGGAAAATGTACAGGATTGACAGAAAAAATGAAGCGGAAGAAGAATTAATAAACAGAATGTTAGAAAGAAAGGAAAGAAATTACGAAAGACAGAAATTACGAAAGAAAGAAAGCAAGAGAGAAAGAAAGAAAAGGAAAAACTGAAAAAACTTATCTTTATTAAGTATATATAGGCAGAAAGAAAGAAATAACGAAAGAAAGAAAGGAAGAAAGAAAGAAATAAATGAAGAAAGAAAGAAGAAGTATGAAAGAAAGAAAATTGATATTGCAAAAAGGAAAAAGTACAGGATCGACAGGCAGAAAAAAATGAAGAGGAAGAAAAATGAAGAGAAAGAAAGAAATTTCAAATAACTTATTTTCTAATTGAGTATATACAGACAGAAAAAAATAAAAGTCTGTTGATATTGGAAGAAGCAAAAAAGCAGAGGATCTTTGAAATTGGAAATAACTTAAGATGGAATCGTGTATATACAGACAGATAGAAAAGAAGAAATAAAAAAAGAGGTAATATTCATTTTGGAAGAAGAAAAAAAGCATAGGGACGACAGAAAGAAACAAAAATGATGAGGAAGAAGAATGAACAAACAGAATGATATAAAAAGAAAGAAAAGAGAACATGAATGAATTAAAGAAAGAAATAAAGAAAGAAAGAAAGAAAGAAAGGAATTTGAAATCTCTTTCGATGTAATTAAGTATATCCAGGCAGGAAGGCACATATAAAGAAAGAAAGAAAGAAAGAAAGAAAGAAAGAAAGAAAGAAAGAAAGAATGTTTATATAGTAACAAGGAGAAAATCTTGATGGAGAAAAAGGAAGAAATGAAGAGAAAGAAAAAAAAAGAAATATGGAAAATACAAGATAGAAAGTCCGAAGAAAAGTGGAGATGTACAGAAAGTGAAAAAAATGTTCGAAAAGAGGAAAAAGAATGCGATTAAGAAAACGAAAAAAGATTCAAAGAAAAAGAGAAACAAGTTGAGTGTGAACATAAAAACAAAGAAAAGTATATAATCGAATGAAAGGAGGAGAATGATGTTGATATGAAAAAAAAAAAAAAAAAAACAAGGCAAAAGAACATGGCCGGAATAAAGACAAAAGAGTGAGAAGATGGAAAACGGGAAATATGATGAAAAGAAAGAAATATATAAATAAATACATAAATACATAAATACATAAAGAAAGAAAAAGAAAGAAAGAAAGAAAGAAAGAAAGAAAGAAAGAAAGAAAGAAAGAAGAATGAGAAAATGCGCAAAAGGAACATGAAAAAATAGCAGAAAGATAGAAAGAAAGATATAGAGAAAGAAATTAAGGGACGAGGAAATGGAAAAGAGGAAAACGAACAAGATCAAAAGAAAGAAAGATAGAAAGAAATAGGAAAAGAAAGAAACCAAAAAGAAAGAGACGAATGTGGAGATGGAAAAAGAGAAAACGAATATGAAAGAAAGAAAGAAAGAAAGAAAGAGAGAGAGAATGAGATGGAAAAAAGGGAAAATCAACATGAAAGAAAGAAAGAGAGAGTGAGAGAGAGAATGAGATGGAAAAAAAGGAAAAATGAACATGAAAGAAAGAAAGAAAGAAAGAAAGAAAGAGATAGAGAGAAAGAAAGAAAGTAAAGAAAAATAAAAGAAAGAAAGAAAGAGAAAAATGAGGAGATGGAAAAAGGGAAAACGAACATGATCAAAAGAAACAAAAGAGAAAAAATAAGAATGAAAAGACGCGAAAAGGAAAAATTAACTTGATCGAAAGAAATAAAGAAAGAAAGAAAGAAGGAAAGAAGAATCTATTGATGTAAATAAAGTGACAAACATGTTCAAAAGAAAAACAACCAAACAGAACATGAATACTAAGAACGATGAAATAAATAGAAAGAAAGAAAGAAAATAAGAAAGTAAGAAAGAAAGTAAGAAAGAAAGACTATTAAAATTTCATGGCAACTGCTCTGACCTGTTGTTTTCACTGTTTCCCCCAACTGAATGAATTTAAGCGTGCTACTTGGCTGGTATGTCGGTCCCACCTTTTCACTGTCGAAACAGTTAAATGTAACCGCCTCTTCTACTCCAACAGCTTCTTCTCTCGTACTTCCCATCAGTAGAACTCCCTTCCTCTTACTTGCTTCTTTGGTAAGTATAATCTTCACAAATTTAAATGTAATGCCAATTGACATCATCTGATGCTTTGATCTTGATCCCCGTCCTTCTCTTTATCCTTTCTTCAAACACCCCTCTTTACTCTTGCTCTCACTCTCTGTAACCCTTTGCGTGCTAGTGGCACTTCCGCCTTGTTTGGGGTGAAATGATTCGAATAAAAAATAAGGGGGATGAATGTATGTAAAAAGAAAGAATAAAACAGGAAGAAAACTTGACGCCGGAATCGATCAGACGAAGTATCATTAATATATGACTTGATCTTCAGACCACGAGTCACAGAGTCTAATGGAATGAATCAATGGATTAAAAATATATAGATCCCTTATTGTTTTGGGTTTGAAAATCTTGGTCCGGTTATGCCGAATACTCACATAATCTTGGGAATTAAATTATAGCAGATCCCCTGCCAGTTGTGTGTTCAAACCCTGGCTCCGACAGAGCTAAAATAACTAATTCTAGATTAGCAGACGGAAAAGAAATACACCGCAAAGGTGGATATAAAGGAAATCTCTATCTATAAAAGAGAGGATATGTATGTGTGTGTGTGTGTGTGTGTGTGTGTGTGTGTGTGTGTATGTGTGCGTGCGTGTGTGTGTGTGTAACGAATGCACGGCCGCAATTTTCGACGGATTTGCACCAAAATTTACATGCTCCAAGTTAGTGGAAAGGCCAAGACCAACTTTGCATTTCCCAACTCCCATCGATAGTTGAAATAATCGATTTTTTCATGCTTCTACGGCAGTTTTCATGTAACTTGCGGCCATTTTCTACTGGCCATAGTGAGAGCCTATAGCTGGCTGCCACGAAGAGTCAGGAAGATTCTACTGTCCAGCGTGAGAGTCAACAGCTGACTGACACGAATGTTAACTAGCATGCTAGCATGCAAAAAAAAAAAAATATCGATAGCTGCATTTGTCGCAAGTGGGAAAAATTTAAATCTGCGTGGCACTTTACTCCAATTGGCTCATTCGCTTGCTTAAACTCAACGTTGATTCTGATTCAGCAGAACTGGGTTCGGTGTGAAAAAGTATTTGTTGTTAACATTCTTTTTTCATCCGGTTTTTCCAGTTATGGGTCCTTTTTTTAAAGCTGATCGTTTTGTGTTCATTTTGTTTAGTTCTTTTTTCGTAACAGATTTAATGTTTAGTATAGAGCTTAGAAAAAATTCGCAGTGTGAGATAGGCAAGAAGTAAGCCATGTAGCAACATCAGTACAGCAAAGGGCACTCCTTTAAAGGCAAGGAAGAGCAAAAATATTTATAAAAAGTGATAGCGATTGCTGTATGAGTCGTATGATTTTTGAATCAAGCACGAGCAACGCCGGGCCATGCTGCTGGTATCCACTAAAGCTGAGGTAGGGAAAGTTGCTAGTTTGTATCTGGTACTTAAAATATTTTCATAAGCATGAATGTGTCACTCATATACTTAGCGATAATTTTAATAAGAAACTTGTTGTAATATATTAGTTGCTAATGTTTCAGCTCGAGGTAGCTATAAAGAAACAATGACAAATGAATACAGAATATTCAAAAATTTTAAATTATCAGAGCCGACATTAAATAAAGATGAAATTACGACTGATGAAACGCAAAGAGAGAAAAAAACCTTCCTACACAACTGGTTTTCACTCTCTCATCATTTAAGTTTTTTTTTCGGGACGAGGGCGATTATGGCTCTCAGAAATTTGTTGTGCTTTGTAGCTCGAAATAAATTATCTCTTTTCGTAATTTGTAACCCTTGTTTCGCTATCCATTTTTCTCAAGTATGCTGTGCGTTGTTTTTCCCTGTCCCCTTTGCTCTAAATTCCGTCCTGTGAGTAACAGATTTTCCAACCCCTCCTTTCTCACTAGTTGCTCCAGAAATTTCAACTGTCAGTTGCTGGTGTTAAATATAAGTCTGACGTCCCCCGGTGTCGCTGCGCCAAATGTGACGTTTGCCTGGCCGCGCACGCCGTGCTGTCCTGGTCGCGGCGCCAATTGTGACGTCACCCCGTCTGTCTCCGCGCCGTCGCCGTCCTATCCTGTCCTGCGACGACCAATGTGACTTACTATTGGTCGCGGCACCAAATGTGACGTTCTAACCCTTTGCTGATTCGGATGGAAATCTGTTTAGATTCGGTATCAGCCTTGTCGTTCCCAGTTCGCCTCCAACGTCTGGTTACCGAAGTAACTGCTTTGATTTCTAGTCTAACGTACCCACGTTGTGATTTGATCTTAGGTAGACGAAATCAATCAGTCGTCGGGCCGTAATGCAAGTCGAGTCCGAACAAGGACAATACCGCACAAGTATATGTAAAAGAAAATAAAGTAATAACTTGAATAGTTCAAATGTGTTAAAAAGTAATAACAAGATTTTATATCTGGTTGCTGAATACAGGACTGAATCTTTCTCCCAAACCGCTATATGGATTCGTGACACTTTGTGTTTGTTAGGCGAGTCTTAACATTTTAAGTTGTTTGTTCTTTAAGAAATTGGTTCTTGGTGTATCTTCAGGCGATATTCGTAAAACTTGTTTTGGTGGTGTGAGTCTAAGTCTTTCTTCAAAAATAAATTGTTCTTGGTTAGAAGTTGAGGTCGAGTATGCGTGGATATCTTTCAGTCAGGTTCCTGCGAGGCTGTCTCTCTACTAACTCTGCAACTGTCTGCCTCAACTGCGAACTCCTTAATTCAACTGCCGCAACTCGTTGCGACTCTGCTTATATGGACGCCGACCAAAACCGGGGTGGGCCTGTCGGGGTTTGAGGTTCCTTGATAATTCTAAATCCGCATTAAGGGTTTTTCTTTGTTTTCGGTCAGGAAGAATTATTAATTTCCATTTTTGGAAGTATTTCGTCCTCTCAAATTCTTCCTTTCTCATATTGGTATCTCAACCATACTTCAGAGAGTGTCAATGGCTTTCCCCTCTCTCTCACAGTTGCATCTCACCCCGATCCTTGTCTGGAATCTCGGCTTCAGATGTGGTTTCAGATGTCTATTTTAGAAATATTTCTATAGCAGTTGTTCGACTGAGCTTTCGTCTTTGATGCCTTGTCGGCGTGGATTTAATCGAACTACTAGATTGGTTACTAAAATTGAAAATAGATGCAACTAGTACACTAATAATTGTTTTTCTCGCACTTTTCCCCTCTGTAACTGTCTTCCTGTTTTTGCTTACCTACCACCTGAGTCAGTCAGTTATGTGCCATGCGTGATACACGTTGAGGCAGTTATTTTTCCTCAGTAGATTGCCATTTCTTTCTGCGGGAGAGCAGTTGCCATCCAAGGTTATAGGACCTGGTCTGTTCTGCTATTTACCCATAGTGTGCTTGATTAAATGAACAGTCAGTAAGTTATGTGCCATGCGTGATACACGTTTAGGCGATCATGTATCTTTTGATACATGACTGACGAGGGAGATTTTTTTCCCGCAGTAGATTGCCATTTCTTTCTGCGGTAGACCAGTTGCCATCAAAGCATAGAGAACCCGACCTGTCCTGCTATTTATCCATACCTAAGGGGAGAAGAAGAGGATTCATACCTTTCCCAAAGGTATTAGCACGTAAGTGAATTTCAGTCCGTTTTGTGCCATGCATGGTACACGTTGAGGCGATCGTGAATCTTTCAATACATAACGGACGAGGCAGAGATTGACCAGTTGCCATCCAAGGCTATATAAACTGGTCCGTTCTGCTATTTACCCATAGCTGGAGGGAAAAAAGAGTATTCATACCTTTCCCAGGGGTATTAGCACGTAAGTGAATGTAATGGATTCGACTGGAATTCGAACTCGGCTCTCCGATTTCTGAATCCGAGCCGCTATCCATTGCTCCTCCTAATTAAATATATCGCAAATCGCCGTCTTCTTTCTTCCTAAATACTGTTTTTGATTGTTTCACTAAATTCTTTTCATTCATTGTCATTTCCTGTAACACAATGCGTCTTATTGGCATTAACATCTTTCTTGAAAGGATTATTAAAAGACACAATAGTAATTGCAATGAGAGAATTTAAAAATGGTTAATAGCTATAACAATGACATTATTTGAACGACAATAAAATATCTGAAGCAATGTCTGAAGGACTTGCCCATCATTAAAGTGGGTGATTAATAGATCCTTTTTTCTAATGAGTCATCTATTTCTTCTATGTGACGTGTCCCTTCTCGACGTGGTCGATCATCGCTCTCCTGTCCTTTGTAGCTTTGTGTACATTTTGTCATCGCTATCCTTTTTAACACCCTGTTCTACTTTTAGAATAAATTGAAATATAATCGTTACCGCCCATCCAATGAGCGTTAATATAATATAACAGACCTACTTATAATGTACGACAGACCATACATAAATAGTCGAGCGAAAACACAACGCACATGGCCTGAAGATCGCGTTTAAGCATGAAACAGTCTGCTATCGTTGGCTGTTGACTTCCATATATCCATATATATATATATATATATATATATATATATATATATATATATATATAGATGTATATATATATATATATATATATATATATATATATATATATATATTAACTGATTTAAAATATACTTTTTCGCTACGCAGTAATAACCATGTTTCAAAAATGGAAGCTAAATCCTGAAATTTAATTTTTTAATTAAATTAAAAGCATAAGTTCCATTTCATCATCAAGCGAATATTGGAATAACTTATTTTTAAATTTACTTAAACGGACATATAAAATTCATAATTTTCCCAGTTTCAAGTATACAGAGAAATCCAAGCATGTAACATTTATACTCTGTAAATTTACATTGAGCACTGTTTTGTAAAAATAAGAATAAAAAATATTAATAAGAACACCGGATTATATACCATACTGTTCTTTCTTTTTATTTATATATACATATATATATATATATATGTGTGTGTGTGCGCCTAATTATTTATATATATATACAGTGTAACCCGGATATAAGAGAGTTGTCGGGACCGGAGAAGAAGTCACTTATATCCGGGTTTCTCTTATATCCGGGTTTCTCTTATATCTGGGTTTGGTCTATTTTGTTGAGGTACGCTTAGGCTCTAATTTGGGACCATAGAAAATCTCTCTTATATCCGGGTTTCTCGTATATCCGGGTGTCTTATATCCGGGTTATATATATATATATATATATATATATATATATATATATATGGAATTGGAACAGATAGAGTCAAAATGTATTTTTAGGAGTAAAGAGTGAAAAGCCTAAATGCCAATCAATAGCGAATATTTCTAAAATTACTTAATGAATATGAAACAAAACTCTCTTGGTTGTACTTATTTATAGCATACCACAGTATTGTAAATTTTAAATCAGAGAATGAAAGGTCAGAAAAAGAAAAAGATCACAAACGAGAAAGATCGGGTAAGAAAAAAGAAAGAAAAGAATGGAAACATAAAATTTGAAAGGAAATAATAATAATAATAATAATAATAATAATAATAATAGGAAGAATTCTTTAAAAGCAAAATGTCCAAGGACTGAGATGGAGAAAAGAAGAAAGTGCAAAAGAAAAAGTGAGTAAGAATGGTCAATAACAGAAAAGTAGATCATTTGAATGAGAATGAAGAAGAAAAAAAATCTGAAATATATAAGAAGCCAAGTAAGAAAAAAAGAGCAGATAAATACGGAGAAAATAAATAATATTCGAAAAACAAACAGAAGGAGAAATAAAGAAAGATAATTATTTATACTAATCTTCACGCATTACAAGCCTGGAGAACCACTCAAGTTAGTTATTTACTATTAAAATGCCTACGATGAATGAGGTTTGTGATATGAATAAAAGACGAGGAGGGAGAAAGTGATGATTACAGGAGCAAAGAGCATAGATAACGACTGACTCTTGATTTGAAAACGGCTTTCACGAAGCTAGAAAATGTTGATTGAGTAGTTCCAATCCAGATAAGGTAGCAATACTCAATTATTTTTTTTTTATATTCTCTTGTGAGAATAAAGAATTTCCGCAGAATTCAGTTTCTTGATGGAGAGAGAGCAGGAGAATTCAAGTACTTCATTAATGCAATACTTTTGAAAACATTGTAAAAAAAAATATATATAAAATAATGAATGAATTAAACAAAAATACCATATCCATTCAGGATTGGTTTATTCGTTTTCCACCTGCTTTCAACTTTTTGCAGGTTATTTAAAGCCAGAAAATACTTCTTTTCTTTTTTAGATTCACTAATTTTTTTAGAGATTTATTTTAGAGTTCATTCACTTCTGTTTTTGAAATAAAAATGTTTTTGGGGTATATCTCTTATTAATTAACCCAGAGCTGTGGGTAAAATGATGAGAATGAATAACATTCCAAATTCCAAGCAATTATCCATTATAACATCCCCACATCCAAGCTTACAGCAGCTGGTATTCCCAAGCGGTCACCCATCTAGTTCGACGTTGCTTAACTTCGGCGATCTTACGTGAACTGTATGTTTTGAACGTGTTGTGACTGGTAGCTTTCCGTTCAGGAGGCTGGCGATCGAGCTTTATTAAGTATGAATTACTATGAAATTTTGGGAAAGACAATGGAGTGGTTTCCCATTGCTTTTCGTGTTATTTAACCCATAAGTGGGAGGTCAGAGAGAATAGGCATTTTCAAAGGAAAGTAGGGGGAAAGTGAACGCAATTAACTATCCTGGAACCGGCCCAAACGAACCGTTTTCTTTTACCATGTCACTCCATCCAGAGCATTAACCTTAGATCAAACATTGGCTTATATAGACAAAGATTGGATTTAATTAATTTCACCTAATAATTCATTGAGTCGAGCAAAAGAAACCTCAACAAATTGCAGAAAGCACTGGACGGCCGTTTCGTTGTTTTTGGAACTCATCCACTACCAAGAATCGAACCCGGACCGTTACGTTAAAACGCAAGCGTCATACCACTGAGCCCGCTGGTATGACGAAGAGGAAGCCAACTAGATGTTTAATTGTTTTCCTCCCTCTGTATGTACATATGTGTGTGTGTGTATATATGCGTGTTTGTGTATGTTTGTGTGTTTGTGTATGTATGTGCGCGTGCGCGCGCGCGCGTGTGTGTGTGTGTGTGAAGGGAATGAAGAAAAGTGGCAAAAATTTACGAGAAGCAATATTCGGAGGATGTAGAAAGAGAAAAACGTGAAAGAAAGAGAAGATAAAAAATGAAAAAAAAAAAAAGAAAAGAAAAACAATTGTAGAAAGGAAATGAAGAAAAGAAAGCAGCTTAGAAAAGAGGAAAATGAAATCAGACGGTGACAGGACTCAATAGAAATAAAGTTAAGTACAATATTTATAACAACATTTAAAAAAGGCATCAAAAAACAGAATGTAAACGAAAAAGCGAATATATTTATACCATTGGGTATTGAAATATTTTAGAGCCAGCGTAAAAGAAATGACTGGGAAAATATCAGAGTAATGTAAACTATGAAAGAACTGTAACAATGGCGTTTAGTAGACAGACGAAAGACAATACAGGCAAATTAATGGAGAATATCTTTTGAAAAAACCCGTGGTTATCAAAGATTTTAACAGAAAAAAAATATAACGAATGCAGTCGAGAAGTAACGATATTCAAATAAAGAAAATCTACCATTTAATATAATGCCGTAAAAAGATAGAGAAAAAGACAGAAGTGCGAGAGAAGTAGAAACTAGTAGCCGGTTTGTATTGCCATAGACGATAATTATTTTGGCCATGTTCTCCTTAAATTATTTAAATCAGCGATGTGCAACAGGCGGACTGCGGGCCAAAATTATTTCAAATAGGCATCAGCATAGCAAGATACCTAGTTTAAGAATGCCTGCTGTTTGGAGATAGTTGATAAGTTACCCTCGTAGAAGATTTCTTTGAGGAAAATTCTACAGGGTGGCAGGAAAGAAACTTCGTTCATGGAATTGTTAATATCTTTATTAATTATTGGTCAATTTTCATTAAATATGGTTTATTTTACAAGTGAAATCTTTTAACAGTAGAGTGTTAAAGTTCTACCTTTGCCTTAGACGATAATTATTTTGCCTATGTTCTGCTTAAATTATTTCAATCAGCGGTGTGCAACAGGCGGACTGCGGGCCAAAATGATTTCAGATAGGCATCAGCATAGCGAGATATCTAGATAGTCAGTTTAAGAATGTCTGCTGTTTGGAGATAGTTGACAAGTTACCCTCGTAGACGATTTCTTTGAGGAAAATTCTACAGGGTAGCAGAAAAGAAACTTCCTTCATGGAATTATTAATATCTTTATTAATTATTGGTCAATTTTAATTAAAGATGGTTTATTTTACAAGTAAAATCTTTTAACAGTAGAATGTTAAAATTCTACCTTTTCCCGATTTTCTTCCAATTTGAATTGGACCGTTTCTGCGAGTATATACGACAGAAGACGTATTCATCAGCATGGGATGATAACTTCTGGTGGTTTTACCATCTACTGAAGCCCGAGGTCCATGAAAACTGCACCACCTCGGACTTTTACACTTCGTAACGAGATGCTAGCAGAGTTGCTCATGCAGTATCAGGCATTGTGCCATTCTAGGCTACACTTGTTACTCTTATATAAAAACAGAAATTAACGATGACATTCCTCCTCTTTTGGAATCACAAAATATTTTATTTCATGCAAATGGGTCGATATAAACAAAATTTATAAGCAATTTTCTGTAAGGATTTTATTTCCACGCAACCTCTATAGTTTCGGGATGTTTCACACAAGCCAGAATTAACTACGTGCGACAAATATTTTCACTTAACAGATGTAATCCTATTCATTTTTAGTAGTCAAAATATTATGCACAAGTCCAAATTTGTTCGTAATAATCTCCAGATGAGAAGCATGTAGAGGTCATTGACTTACGTCGGAGATCTGTTCCTACGGCGCAACGTGACTTGATTTTCGACGTAGGTCGGAACTCACCTACATAAGCAGAGGGGGTCCTCGACTTACGTCGGATATCCGTTTTTACGGCGCGAGGTAACCCGATTTTTGAGGTAGGTCGGCCTCACCTACATAAGCACCCATGAGTCTGCTTCACGCTTGGGAGCCATAATGAAGGGCAAACTGTTTCTCCATAACGATACAAACAATAGATAGGGAATGTAGCACAATTCGATATGGCGTACAGCCGGTGAAGAAACAACACCGTCTTTTTAAAATAGCGCCGCGTGAAGACGTATTATATTATGGGAGATTGCGTCGTAACCATAAAACGCCGTAGGTCGGGTCCGGCGTAACCCGAGGACCTTCTGCATTTCTGTAAGTGCGAAATTAATCGACCATTAACCCTAGTGTTTACGTCGTCACTAAGCAAATGTATAATTATAGATTGTGATATAGAAATAATGAGAAAAATTGGAAAAAATTTTTTAGGACCTAGTGTTTTCGCCTTCCGGGGCTACATAGGCGTTTTCAGTTCAAAATGAAAGACAAGCCTATGTGTAAAGAAAGTGAGTTTGATGTTTTTTTCTGAAAGGAGTGATGAATGACCTTAAGAAATCCAATCAACCTATTAATTTTCTTCATTGAATCCGTTAACGTCTTTTGGATCTAAAATTCGCCCACTACGAGTAGATCTTTGATTTGTTTTGTTAGCTCATATATTCTTTGTGATATTTTTGCTATTACGATGATCAGTGAATTTATGTATGTGATCGGTCGCATGTTTATCGTCGAGAATTCATAGGTCAGCGCACTTTTAATGCATTTTCTTCTTAGCGAAATATCTTCCCTTTTGATCAGACAGGCATTAAAATTAGATTAAAAACGTAGTCAGATGTATTTAACGAGTTCGTTTTAAGACATGTTAGATTTTAACAGCATCAATCTGAAAAATGAACAGTTTTTGATCGTTGCATCTGATAAGCTGATTTATTATCTTTTACATCAAAATTTGCATCGCACTTTACTTATACACTTGTCTGTCTTTAAATCCGACCTGAAAACGCCTGTCTAGCACACGGACTGTAAAAACATTTCCATTTTGATTAATAAGCTCCACTTTTGTTGCTTACGGCCACATCACTTTGAAAGACCGATTCCTTACGATCGCTGATATTTAGGAAATATCGAACAAGGTCAGTATTTAGATGGGAGTCATGAGAAATACCATGGGCGGTAATTCTTGATATACAAGTCGTCAAATAGATAACAGCTAAGAATTGCAACTCGAAGAGCCGTGTTGGGTTCGGGAAAGGTATGAATACACCAATTCTCCGCGAGACCTTTGGGTTATTAGTAGGACATATACTACAATTCAAATTTTATTAAAATTATTTGTTTTGTACTTTAAATAAGAGAAAAGTATTTTACATGGTTAAAAAAGTAAGACAGGATATTTTTTTATTTGATATTTTATTACGACAAAACGATAAAATAATTTTATGATTAAATTTTGTTCTCGTCAAAATAGCACTCCCCACCCGCTTAGACTTGATTACTGCAGCACAAATTTTTGGCATTCGTTGCGAAAGCTTTTCAAAAGTATAATTTTGATAATTGATTGAAAATGATTAAAATGTATTCTTAGAGTCATTGAACACTTTTTCATTTTTTTTCACTCTTCTGTCAAGTTCCCCACCATGCTAATTCAGTGGGTGTTTT